ATCATTCATAAACAGCATGCTTCTTATATTGGGATTTATTTTGCAGGGTGGCGATCCAATGATTAGAGATGGTAAAAAATCAATTAGCCGAGAATTAACTGGCTTCTTGGATTTAATTGATGGGGTTACCGTGAAAAAGTCTGAGATATCAGCTAAAATGGTTACAAAGAATGCCCCTAGGAAATGTGGGGTTTTGTATAATGAGCATAAAAGTGGCACCTTTGCTTGTCGTAATTTGGCGAAGAATAAGAGATTGGAGGATTTAGTTGACCGGATTGATGCATTGTCTACTAAAGTTCCTATTGGGGATATCGCGGTAGATGAGGAGGATCTTGAAATCCCTGGCATTTCACGGAATAGAGCTGCCCGTTCAGGCCACCCAAGTGATGGATTAGGAGCTAAAGTGAAGAAGAGCGTGAGCTTTGTGGAGAACGGTAAGGTGTACAGGATTCACAGAAAAGGGTTTGAACCAGTTTCAGTTGGGGACTGTGATAGTAGTGGTGATGAAAGTTATTCAGTTGGTGCTGAGGGTGAATTGAAGGACGACATTCGAAGGAAGGCTGAGGAAGTTGGGGAGATTTCGTTCAAGGATACTCTGGCCGAAGAGGAAGATGAATCGCAGGATGGGGAGTCCTCCAAAGGCAGCGATGGTGTGGAAGGTCCAGGATATGAATTGAGGAATGAAGATGGAGGTTTCACATTCTCTGCACCTTTGCCTATGAAGATGGAAACAAAAGCTGATATCATGGACAGAAGGAAGGGTGTAAAAATAGTGGGGTAGGAATGCTAGTGCATGACATTAGCTTGCTTGCTCCTAAATCAGTTTTGTTTTGTGGTTGCTTGGTGGTTAGGTGTCAAGACTTTTGGTCCCAAGATTGGTGTATCTTGATAATTAAGTCTACATTGACTCGAAGATCACCTGAGCAAATGGTTGATGGGGGTCTTCTAGATGTTCGTCTTGTAACAACTTTTCTGTTTCGTTAGTGTGATTGAGAAGAGTGTATTCTTGACTTCATTGTTTGATTGTATTGACTTTTGATCTAGACTAGTGGCTCCCCAAGCTGTTTAAAATGCTACTGCTTGAATTCATCAACGGCAGCTTTTCTTGACCTGTCCAAAGATGTTTCATTAATAACTGTAGAATGTCATCTGGGTTCTCCAATTGATGCCGCTTCTCTCTATGCTGGACGAGGAATAGAGATACAAACGCTAATACGCTGTTGAAATGAACGCCCATCATTGAAAACGGTACCAATCTCAAGCGCCCGCTGACAAACCAAATGGAGCTGATGAAATCACAAATAAACCAAACCAAACCAAACCGAAGATTAAAGAAGATTTCCTGCCCCAGGGTTAAATCCACCGATGACGTCTTTCAGCAGTATTTTTATAGCAACATATGATATGGCAAAGAAAATAAATCCATTTGGATTTACCGCAAAAAAAAAGGTCCATTTGGGAACGTGAGGGTCTGCCAAGCTAGAAGGAACGAGGTTCACTAAAAGGGTTGAGATTTTTTTTTTTGTTGAAAAACTAAAAGGGGTCATCTCTGTTTGGATTATCTATTTTTTGAAAAACAAATTTTTCATATACAATGCTATAGTAATACACAAATAAAAAGAAGTCCAAAAATATTATATCCATACAATAAATAAAAAATAACTCCAAATATATAAAAAAAATTAAAAAATAAAATTTACACTGTATTCTTCTTCCATCTATCACTACCACCATCACCCCCACCCACTATCTTCCTCCTTCCTCTCTTTTCACCTCTTCATCTCCCTCACTCTTCCTTCTCGACCGCGATCTAGTCTCGACGAGACCAAATCGGGAAGGAAAATGAAGGGGAAGGGTGGGGTGTATTGAGAAAGTGGAGGGGTAGGAAAGGATGAGAAGGGAGAGAGGGAGGAGGAGGAAGAGGGACCGGGGGAAGAGGGGAGGAGGAACAGAGGGGATGGTGGTGGTGATGGGTAATGGTGGTGGGTGAAGTGTTAATTTTTAAAAATTATCCTAACAATTTTTAAAATTTAAAAATATTCTAAAAATACTTTCAAAAATACCACTAAAAACATCTATATTAAAAAATTTTCATATATATTGTTACAGTAAAATATTTCGAAAACACTTTAAAAAACAGTTAATCCAAACGAATTTAAATTGAATGATTGAATCCCTCTCCTATTACCCTACCCCTTGTCATGCACCAAACAAAAGAACGTTAAGGAGGAAACTTTTTGTTCACCCCAGCTTTTGACTTTTAAGCTGTGTTTTAAAAAAGCGGACCGGGCCAGCCGATTCGATTGGTCGTACGTGAATCGGCCTTGGCTCCGGTTCGATTCATATTTTGGATTGATTATACTTAAAAATCGGATTGAACCGTTCAAACCGTGCGAACAGGATTGAACTGTTGAACCGACGGGTTTTTTTTGTTTTTGTCTATTAAATTGAAAAAAAAATTAAAAAAAGAATATGTTTTCCTTAATCCTAAAAACTAATTATTAAATGCCACATTCACTCACTTTCTTCTCATTTTTGCCTCTTATCAAGTTTGTGTTTTTATTTTGTAATTTCTTGACTTCCTCCAAAATTTCTTTTTTAAAAAAAAAATTGCAATATCTAAATATCAAAAACTTAAATCAAAATTTAAACTCATAATGTCTAATTCTCATAGACGTAAATTTTGTATAATTTCAAAATATTTTGGTATTTTTGAGTTGGATTTAACATTATTTTTTTGGTAAATTCAATTAAGATTGAGATGAAATTTATTTGTTTCAATTTATAATTTAAATTTTTTATTTGTGAAAATTCAACTTCTTTGAAAATATTAAATTTTTCATCGTATAAAGTCTTAAATTAGTCCAATACATGTCTTATTTTGTGCATATACATTTATATAAATTATTTTTTTTAAAATTTATTGAACTAGGGTTGAACCGATCTGACCGATTGAACCTCGACCCGAACACCTCACCGGTTCAATTAACTGTCCGAGTTTTAAAACATTGAGTGTGTTTGGATAGAGATAATTAAAAACATAAATAAATTGTCTCACAAATCTCAATCACCTTTTTATCTCACATAAATCACATCACAAAAAATGATATGGAACGCCGAACCGGTGAATCTGCGCTTCTCGCGGACCATCACCAATTTAGGACGTTTACCCTTTTTACATAATAGGGATAATTGCAAAACCTCCCTCCCCTAAGATTTCAAATATTTGCACTGACCTCCCCTATCAATTTTGAAATTGCATTAACCTCCCCTAGAAAAAGTTGGAGCTAATTTAAAAGATAAAAGTGTGTGAAATTACTAGAGTACCCCTATTGGATTTGACTAATTAACTAGAGTACCCCTATTGCATTAACCAGATGAAAGGTTTGAATACTTTCATCAAAACCAACGTTTAATTTGTTAAACAAATTAAACTAATCAAACTATTTCTTCATAGTTAAATTAATTAACTAATTATCTAATTAACTAATCAAACTATTTCTTCATAGTTAAACTAATAACTAATTATGTAATTAACTATTAACTAATTAAAGAATTATCTAATTGTTAATAGTTGTTAACTAATCAAACTATTTCTGCATAGTTAAACTATTTAACTATTAACTAATTATCTAATTAACTAATCAAACTATTTCTTCATAGTTAAACTAATAACTAATTATCTAATTAACTATTAACTAATTAACGAATTATCTAATTATCTAATTAACTAATCAAACTATTTCTTCATAGTTAAACTAATAACTAATTATCTAATTAACTATTAACTAATTAACTAATTATCTAATTGTTAATAGTTATTAACTAATCAAACTATTTCTGCATAGTTAAACTAATTAACTATTAACTAATTATCTAATTAACTATTAACTAATTAACTAATTATCTAATTAATTAATTAACTAATTAACTAATTAACTAAAGCTGTTGTTTGTTCGAAACTAACAAACTATTTGCATGTTAAACTAATTAACTAATTAACTAACTAATTATCTAATTAATTAATTAACTAATTAACTAATTTTTGTTTATCTAATTAACTAATTATCTAATTATTTAATTAACTAAAACTGTTGTCTATCCGAAACTAACAAACTATTTACATGTTAAACTAATTAACTAATTAACCAATTAACTAACTAACTAATTAACAAACTATTTGCATGTTAAACTATATGCAGTACGCATTACCTATTTAAAGTATCGGCTCTTTAAGAGTATTTTACTTTCAAACATTTAATTTATGATAAAAATATCAATGTTTGTAAGTAAAATTCAAAAAGTATTACAGTAATATTCTTACAAAAAGGGAGGGGCATAGGGCCATAAAATAAATATTTTTATTCAAAAAGTAACACTTTTTGAATTTTACTTACAAACATTGATGTTTTTATCATAAAATAAATGTTTGAAAGTAAAATACCCATAAAGAGCCGATACTTTAAATAGGTAATGCGTACTGCATATAGTTTAACATGCAAATAGTTTGTTAATTAGTTAGTTAGTTAATTAGTTAATTAGTTAAGCAGTTAATTAGTTAATTAGTTTAACATGCAAATAGTTTGTTAGTTTCAGACAGACAACAGCTTTATTAATTAGTTAATTAGATAATTAGTTAATTAGTAAATTAGATAATTAGTTAATTAGTTAATTAATTAATTAGATAATTAATTAATTAGTTAATAGTTAATTATATAATTAGTTAATAGTTAGTTAGTTTAACTATTAACTAATTAGATAATTAGTTAAGCAATTGTCAAGTAAATAATAATTGTCAAGCAAGATGAGGGCAAAATTGGAAGAAATTTCTTATCTCACTTCTACAAAAAAAATTTTAATGGGACATCAAGCTGTCAGGGAGGTTTCTGCAACGAATTGTTACTGTTTAGGGGAGGTGAATGCAATTTCTAAACCTAAAAGGGAGGTCAGTGCAAATGTTAAAAATTCTCAGGGGAGGTTTCTGCAATTATCCCTACATAATAATATTTGGATACCCGAACCCGATTGGCAGCTCCAGTCAGAATCCTCCACAACTCCAGTTCGAAACTTTTTTCGGAGTCCCCGTGAATGACAGCGTTTTAGGTAATTGAGGATCGGTGTTGGATCATATACGGGAGCTTTAGGCTCAAACTACGGAAGCAAGTAAAACTAGAACCTAAGCCGAAGCAGCTGGGGTGAATGTATCGAGCCTGGGCAGGTGGGGAGTCTTTCTAGTCAATGATTCATGAATGTGGCCAATTCCAGCCTCTGTCCACAACCTTGACGTCCTTACTTTCATCCGCTGCTCCCGGCCCCAAAGCAATCAGTGTAACACGATGGCAGACTCTGTTATACAACTCCGCCAATGCCAAATGTATACGAACCACCAAACAACTCCACGCTTATACCATCACCTCTGGCCTCCTTTTATCCCCCAAGTCCACACATCTGCTCTCGCTTCTTGCATCAGCGTATGCGGTCGGTGGCCAAATTGTAGTTGCCCGTTACCTGTTCGATAAATCGCCTGATAGGACATTCTTCTCGTATAAGACCATGATAAGAATGTGTGCTGAAGATGGGTCTTCGCATAAGGCTCTAAAACTCTTCGCTGAGATGCTTGAATCGGGTCGTTACAAACCTGATAATTATACCTTTCCTTTTGTCATTAGGGCCTGTGGTGATTCTTTACTGCCTCAATTGGGTACTGCTGTTCATGGTTTAGCTCTTGTAAGTGGCTATGGTTCGGATACATTTACTGCGAATTGTCTGTTGGCAATGTACATGAATGTTGGAGATAGAGAGGGGGCGAAGCGGGTTTTTGATACTATGGGAGAGCCTACTATTGTCTCGTGGAACACTATGACCAGTGGTTATTTTCGAAATGACAGTGCCAAAGAAGCTTTGATGTTGTTTCGGAAAATGGTGGACAGTGGGGTGGAAGCTGATGCTGCAACAGTTGTTTCTGTTTTGCCTGCTTGTGGGTTTTTGAAGGATTTGGAATTGGGGAGAGAGGTGCATTTGCTGGTGGAAAAGAAGGGTTTAGGGAAGAAGGTGTCGGTGAGGAATGCCCTGGTGGATATGTATGTTAAGTGTGGTAAAATGGACGAGGCACGAAGTGTGTTTGATAAGATTATTGAGAAAGATGTGGTGACTTGGACAACTATGATTCATGGGTACTCCTTGAATGGTGATGTTAGAAGTGCTTTAGGATTGTGTCAACTTATGCAGTTCGAAGGTGTAAAACCTAATGCAGTTACTCTGGCTTCTCTTCTTGCATCTTGTGCCAATTTGCCTAACTTGAAGTTAGGTAAATGTTTGCACGGTTGGGCATTAAGGCAGAGAATTGAATCTGATGTAAACGTTGAAACTGCACTTATTGACCTGTATGCAAAATGCAAATGTATGAGACTTAGCTTCAAGGTGTTCTTTAAGACTTCTAAAACAAGAACTGTACCTTGGAATGCGATTCTTTCAGGGTGCATTTATAATATGCTTGGGGAAGAAGCAATAGAGCTTTTCAGAGAAATGCTTCTGGAAGGAGTGAAACCCAATGACGCAACCTTCAAGAGCCTCCTTCCAGCATTTGCAGTTCAAGCAGATATGCAGCAAGCAATGAGTTTACACAGTTACCTCATAAGATCAGGCTTTATCTTGAGAACTGAAATTGCAACTGGCTTGGTTGACATTTATTGCAAGTGTGGGAATTTGAAATCTGGTCACAGGGTCTTTAGTGGGGTCCCCTTGAAGAAAAGAGACATTGTTCTCTGGAGTGCACTTATAGCAGGTTACGGCACTCATGGGCATGGTGAAATTGCTCTTTCTCTCTTTTATGATATGGTGCAGTCTGGGATTAGACCTAATGAAGTCACTTTTACTTCTGTTTTGCATGCATGTAGCCATGCAGGTATGGTGGATGATGGTTTGAGTTTATTTAATTTCATTTATGGAAGTTTCCCTTTGTGTCTTCGTACCAATCACTACACCTGCATGGTTGATCTTCTTGGTCGTGCGGGTCGACTTGAAGAAGCTCATGAATTGATTAAAAGTATGCCTTTCCAACCGAGTCCTACTGTGTGGGGTGCTTTGCTTGGTGCCTGTGCGATACATGAAAATGTTGAACTGGGAGAGGAGGCTGCTAAATGGCTGTTTGCATTGGAACCAGAGAACACGGGAAACTATGTACTGATGGGGAATATTTATGCTGCTCTTGGAAGGTGGAAAGATGCAGAGAATGTGAGACATAGGATGAATGAAGTAGGGTTACTCAAATCGCCAGCTCACAGTGTAATTGAGGTAAGGAAACCTGTGTAGTGTCATTTGCTGTTAGATGCTTGGCTTAAAAAAGTTGCAAGGCTGCCACATCTTCAATGTTTGATGTGCCAACTGTTGATTTCAAATTCTTGGCACATTGAATGAATATAACATTAGATGATGAAGCATTTGTTGTTCTATGAGAGATTACATCGTTTTTCTTCGAGGCGTACGCAAAGGTATTACTATATACTAGCTAGTCATGCTGTTGTGCTTTGCTGATGAATGAAATTAATCCACCTTAAGCAGTCTAATAAGGACCATTTCCCTGGTGAGCTTGTGCGAAATTATTTCCAAGATGTTTGGCATTTTACAAGGCAAGCCAGATACCCTGACAAACTGGTTCCTTATTTGATTTAAATGAGAGAGATTTTGGGACAGTTATAGTCGTTAAGTTGGTCTTTTCAGGGCTGGCTTATTTAGAAAGATTGAAAGAGATGTACGTTGTCTACTTGACACCAAAGTTTACCGCAAAAATGGGTGCTAGACAAGCCATTGACTAATTTTTTCTCAGTCCGGAAAAATTGTGGCTGTGTTTGGTTCGATTGTTTTTGGCAAAAACTGTGGCTGTAGTCAAAATACAATTTCAGTCAACCAACTTTTTTTTAAATGCTACAGTCCCGGTCCTGGTACACGGCGCCGTTTAGGAGCCAAAATGACAAAACAAGTTTTGAGGTGTATTGTCCTTTCGTTCCTCCTCGTTATTTTCTGAGTTAAACTGTATCGAGCAACTACGAGGCTCCTCTTCACTTTCCTCTTCTAAGCAGCATCAACAGTAGAGCAGACACTTGAATGTTCAAATCACCGGTTCTACCCCAGCTGATCTGCTTGTAATGCTGCTGTCATCGTCGCCGCAAGTGAACAGTTAGCTGGTCCCTCCACAATTTGCAACTTATCTGCAGCATAACATCGGGAGAAGGAAGCTGAACCTCCGCTGCACCTCGGACAGGGGAGGTAGTGGAATTGCCCAGAAAATCATTCGAAGCTGCTTGCTGGAGAGCTTTCTTCCCTTATTTCCAAGTCGCGGCCAAGGAGTCTCACCGCCGTTGCTCATCTGTTGCTTCGTCGAGGTGAGTTTGTACTGTTGAGCTAATTGGGGCCTTAATTCGTACGAATTAGGGCTACAGTAATTAATGAATGTGGTTGCTGTTTAATCCTATTCTCTGAAAAATCAGCGGGCGATAGTATATGGTAGAGACAGAGGATCAATTAAGAAAATGTGGATTTGCCTTGTTTGGACTGACATTCATGCTTCTTCACTTAACTTCTTTATATTGTGCGGCATTCCATTTTTCATTATTGGCTTGTTTTGGTTCGCCATCTCATCTTAGCAACTCACAATTGGAGCTTCACCGTTATCTTGCCTTCGTGATAATTCCCGCATGTGTCCAGAGTATGCTAAATTAATTGTTAGCAAGAGGGAAATGGTACACAGTGGCACCATATTAGCTGATAAACGTGCTTGGCTGCTTTAAATTGTTCGGCATGCATAGGAGAGTTTTTTTTAATAAGCTCATGGTATACGTGTACCCTGTTAATGGGAAGAATATTGATACTATGAAGTGGATTAGATGTTTGATCGATTGCTGTTGTTGTCGGCTGAAATTGATCAGTTTTTCTGCCACATGAATCTGTAGGTGGGGTGTTGTATCTACATTTACATTTCGGATAAGGAATTTGATTAATTGGTTGTACTTATTAAGCACCAGTGCTATTTTCCTTGGACTATTGCAATTCGATTACTGAAATATTCGTCCCTAGCGTCATGTGACTGGCATGCATTTATTTGGTCGTTGCTGTTGGGTTTGATCTTATTGGATGTTCTTGTGATCGGACTTGAGGCAATGCCATTCTGGTACCTGCAATTTTATTAGTTGGCACGTGGTATATTTTAATTTGTCCTACCGTGATTGTTTATAATTTATGCATTGAAGCTGCTGTTGCGTTTTTCAATGAATGACAACCTGTAGAGAGGGGTATATTTTTCTGCTTTAAGTGTGATGCTGTTTTGGTCCTATGTATATGATTCGTTGCATATTATAATCTGATATGAACTTCGCTAAATGGGTTGAACTGTTATTTTAGCTTCACACATAAAATTGGATGATAGTTCATATACAGTTTATGCGTTTGGCCTGCTAATAGCATTTTAGTGGTACCTTGTACATATTTTTAGGATTGTGATGCCCCCTGTGACTCGGAGTGCTTCGAAGGGTAAGGCCCAACTATTGTGACAATTAATTATTAAAAATTCTGATCAGAAACAGCTGTAGTGCTCGGCTTTTAACATCCTTATTTACAGCTTTGCAAACGACTAGGGGTGCTAACCGTTGTTCTTTATATTCGGGTACGGGAGAAAACGATTTGCGTCTTTGTATAACAAACTACTTCAAGGTGAGTTATAACTGACTAGGTGAAAAATTTCTGTAGATGCTGTCCCAATATTGGCTTAGATTGTATCTAATTTCCCGTTTACGGCGACCCTAAGCCTGTTTTCTGGTTTTGACTTTCCTAAAGAAAACAAAGATGCCCAAACCAAAAGCTCCTAAGGAACGTATCAATTTCACGCCGAAGATGGAAACTGCCATTGCTGAACAGCTTCTGAACATGCATAGGAATGGGGAAATATCATCACAGACCATCGGGAGCCACGTTGTCCCTCAGATTACTAGGATGCTCGCTGAGACTTTCGGGGTTTCATTCCCCCGCGATACTATTCGGTCGAAGTACTATGCGCTTCAGAACTTAACTAGGCTTTACATTTCGTTCAAGAAGCGTGGCACTGGTATGGGCTGGGACTCAACCAACTTCACCTTCATGATGGATGATGAGCGATGGAGTCATCTACTTCAGGTATAATACTTAGTCCTATCCTTTAGCTTATACGCTGTTATCGTTATATATTTTGTTTTATAAGCTTGGTTTATAGAATTTTGGTAGGTTTTTTTACCATTATTAGTTGTATGTATTGTTCAGCTGTGGAATTTGTATTGTTTATTTGTAAAAGTTGTTTGTTCCTAACAGCTGTTGTGTTAAATTGTTAATTGGGCTTTTGCTTATTTTTAAAACCTGTTTTCTTCTTTTGTAGGTCAACCAGGGATACAATAGATTTAGGAACCGGTGTTGTCTGGTCTTCCATTTGCTTGAAGAAGTCTTCATGAATCAGGGGGCTACTGGGGATTTTAGCGCCGGCTTTGGAGTATCGCCCCTGAATTCGGGCGATGAATTGGAAATGGAACACGCTGCGAACAGAGGTAGGGGCAAGGGGGTTGTGGATGTCGATTCATCAGATGGAGGAGATGCCGTTCCTGTGACTCGGAAAGGGAAAGAGAAGGTTAAGAAGGGCAAAGGAAAGCGCAAATCGGGGGACATGTCAACTGAGTCATTCTTCCAACCGTCCTCCCCCCAATTCCAGAAATACGTTCGGGTTTTAGACAGCATCGAGACACGATTGAGCGGTAAAGGGAGCTCTGGGATCTCCGGTTCGGTCTCTTCTCCTGCTAAGAGCCAAAAGGCTCCAGTTGATGAAGACGAGGAGCTGGTGGCTGCTTTGGCCACTTTGAGCAGTCTGAATTTGGACCGAAGTGTGCGCTTCCAGATGGCTGATCTGCTAAGGAATCGGCATGAGCGTCTCATTTGGTTCTTATGCGCGGACGACGAGGACCGCCTTGCCTTTGTCAGACATCGAGGCTTCCTCCCCCCCCCTTAGCATCTCGTTCAATCCAGCCCGAAACTATTGCAGCAGCCTTCGTCTTAGTTTTTCCCATGGCTTAAATGGATTTGATCTATTCGTTTGGATTTATGTACTTGGAGTTGACATTGGCCTGTGTTATTCATTTCTTTACTGTACCGTGGACCCAATTCAGTTTTTTTTTTTTTTCTTCTGAGATAAAGTTGAGGTTACAAAAATTTCGGATAATTTATTTGGTTGCGTTTATAAATGTTGGTTGAATTGTTTACTATATATTATTTGTTGGGAATGGTGCAAGGATTTTCATTTTGTGTGACAGGAGTTGCCGCTACATTTTTTCCATTATGCCGATGGTCATCTTTGTTTGTATATTTTTTAACATTTGGAGCTGGTTCAGGTTATTTCTGAATACCATCTGCATGTTCAGGGACCATCGTGTGTTAAATAATTTGAGTGTGCTTCTCAATATTGGTTGCAGTAGTGCTTCTCAGTATTGGTTGTTAGGAAATAGTGCAATGCCGTATATATTGGGGAGCCATGTTCCTAAATTAATTTTATTGGCATCATTTAATATGTATTCTTTGGATTTTTGTGTTCTCACATTCACACCGGGGCCTGTTATCATTTTATCCTTGTGCCATTCAGGGAATGTTTACATAATTTACTTGTGCTGGGGATAGCAATATTGGCTGATGTTCACTAAATATCAATTGTGGCCCCGTAAAAGTGCAATGGCTAATATTTTGTGTACTCATAGTTGCCATATAAATTTTTTGGTTTTCGAGTTTTCTAGTATTAATTACTCACAGTTATTTTCTCAGATAGCTAGGTTAATGTCTGCTAATTTAAACTCCTTATAATATTTGAACTTGTTTGCTACACACTATACAATATTTACTTATTCAACTCGTGAGTCTTTATATGAAATGGTTGAACTTGTTTAATTATTTCACCTGTGTACAAGGATAGTTGACATTTTTTTTTCCATTATATTATTGGCATTCCCCAAATGTGCCTGTGAGTGTTTATAATTATTAAGTGAACTTATATACTTGGATAAACTTGTTACGAGATTTACTTATTGCACTTTTGACACTTTGTAATAAATGGTTGAACTTGTTTAATTATTTCACTTGTTTAATCTATGATTAAGAATATTTCAGGTTATTTTAGGCATAGGGTCCTCAATATTTTTTTCTTCATATTGAGGATATTGCTATTAATTTATTTGCGAGTGTTTATAATAATGGGTTGAACTTATTTAGTAGAATTTGTTGGGGATTTCACCAATTGACTGAATTGGTTTACATGGATATCAACCTTTAAATGAGGTTGTGAGTTAACATACGAGGAATTATGTGCTTATTTCCTCTTTTAGTATTCATAGTTACACCGTTTTTGCATTATACAATTGGATATCAACCTAATGTTTTCGTGTTATTACACATATATAATGCTTGGATGTTTGTTTATTTATAATTATTTCATGGAATTTGTATCAATTGAGGTTATTAAATAATTGATAATATTTCACTTGTACTACTAGAATAGGGTTTAATGTTCTTCAATCACTTGGCCAATTTCAGAGTTCAAAGTTGTTGCTGTGCGAAGATGGACAACGATGGGCACATTCAAGGAGGTCAACTGGATGACGAGCTAGATGACGAGGAGCTCGACAACATCCTTATGTACGTCGTATTATTGGGTTTCATGTTCTTTTTCCAGGATACACATCAGCAGGTCCCAAGAAGACGAAGAGTACGAGATAGCGCGCTGTCAGGGAGAGATTATGTGCTTGAGATTATTAACGGACATGAAGACCGAATTATTCAGAATATGCGCTTGGATGTTCCTCAATTCCTTTTGTTGTGCGATTTATTGCTTAATCGGGGTTACTGGCATGTATATCCTTCTCAAAGAGTGGGGGTACATGAATCCGTTGCTTTAACCCTAATGTGCCTGAGCCATGATGAGCGGCACCGGGTGTTAGCCGAGCGGTTCCAGCACTCAACGGAGACGATTGATCGACACGTTCGTCGTGTATTACGAGCTTTGGTTCGGCTAGGTCGTGATCTCGTTAGGCCAAGAAACGTCGATGACACGCATCCTCGGATCTTGAACAATGGTTTGCTCATGCCGTGGTTCCGAGTATGTATCTCATTTTTAGTTGGACATGCACTTTCATGTAGGTTTCTGCGAGCATGTGAAACTTATAGCCAAACTTATTTCACTTATATAGGATTGTGTGGGAGCTTTAGATGGGACCCATGTATCCGCTTGGTGCAGAGCAGAGGTAAGAGAGAGGTTCAGAAATCGGCATGGCGACTTATCCCAGAATATACTTGCTGCCTGCGATCATGATATGCGGTTTGTCTTTGTTCGGGTCGGCTGGGAGGGTAGTGCTCATGATGCCAGAATTCTCCAAGAGACCTTGCTTGATCCGGGCTCAGGATTTCCAATGCCACCGCAAGGTAATTTAATTGAAATGCCTTTTTAGAATATATCTGGTAACGAATTACTTTTATAATACAAGGCAGTAGGAAACAGTCTCTTTTGTATTTGACAGATTATTTACAGCATTTGTTTCCGTAATAAATGAGTAGGGGCTATAACATGAAACCTATGTCATTAAATCAACAGGAAAATATTATGCAGTAGATGCTGCCTACAGAAATATGCCGGGGTTTATGGCTCCGTTTAGGGGTGCACGGGGCACACCTCATGAGCGAGCAGCTAAAGCGCTGTTCAATAGGCGACATGCATCAGTTAGGAATATTATTGAGCGTACATTTGGAGTTCTTAAGAAGCGATTTCCAATACTCAAAGGTCCAATGCAGAACTACCTGATAGCAACGCAAAATAATATTGTGCTTGCATGTTGTGCTCTTCACAATTTTATGCGCGATTATGTGCCGAATGATGAGTACTTCAATGAAGAAGCGATAAATGGTGCCTTTGCAGATGCACACATAGCAGGGGAACAAGTGCAGATGGGTCAACCTATCGATATGTCGCAGCAGGGCATAGATAACTGGAATGAAGGTCGGCGGGCAATGGCGGCGCACATGTATGTGAATGCTAATAACTAGACTCTAGTGCTTGGCCTAGGACCAAAAGTGTGTTAAATCAGCTTCCGATTTGTACTTAAATGTTTAACTCACGTTCCTGGTGAATGAGGGATTACTTTTAATTTGGCTCCAGTTAATTGTGTTATTGCTTGTCCAGGGATTTGCACCTTTGTATTATATTTGCGGACTCATACTTTGCTCTACAACCTCAGTAAGTATTCAGTTTGCCGGTTTAGTTCAGGGGAGTTTGTGAATGGTGACGTACGAATAAGTCATGACCGAGTTAAGTTCTAGGCACATTTTTTACAGTGCAAAATTTGGTTGAAACTTTGCCAACTACTTTAGGAAATTGCAGGAGGGGACATAATTTAATGGCCATTATTTTGCAAAGATAGCGAACGTATTGGCCAATTACACATTTGGACCCTTAGATCCCCTGTTTTGGGGGTGTTACACATAAACTAGTTTTTGAAATACAATAAAAATTTTTAAAAAGTTGAACTTGTAAAAGGTAATCAAAAAATTAATTTTATTTTTTTTAAAAAATTTTCAAGCATGTATCTCAAAATATTTTCTAAAAACTTTTCTATTCTTAAATATTTCAAAATATTTTCCAACACCCAATCCAAAATATGCTCTAAAAACTCTGCTACAGTAAAGTTTTATTTTAAAAAATTCCCACAGAAACAGCTAATCCAAACGAAGCTGTTTTTCAAAAACAGCTCAATCCAAACGCATGTGTTTTTCAAAAAATAAGAGTTTTTCAAAAACAACAATCCAAACGACAATGCGTGTTTTTTAAAAACTGCTACAGTATTGTTTTTCAAAAACACCCCCAAAAACAGGGAATCCAAACGCAGCCTGTGTGTCATTGGGAAAGACGCGAGGACTTAATAGTTTGTGTATTTTTATCAGAACACCTGCATGTGGGAGAAAGGATTGGTTAATTGTAGTTCTCCAATTGATGTGTAGAACATGCAAGGAAATTACTAAGGGGAAAAGTGGAGTTGCTTGAAGCCAGCAGCAAGAGAGAACAACCGTGTATGCAGAGTCTTTGACACATCGTTGGAAAACGTGGAATCCAAAATCTTTATCTCAAAAGTACATAAACCTAGAAGTGCCCTCTAGCAGAATTTGTTTGGATTGCGGTTTATTTGTCAAAATATATTTGCTTACATCATCATTACAATTTCCAACGCACCTTTTTATCTCACATACATCACATCATAAAAAGTGCTACAGTAAAAATATCTCTAATAATTCACAATCCAAACAAAATGTTTCTCAAGCAGAGAGAATCAAATTTGGATGGTTAACAGCAGCGATGAAAAGGATGATTACTGAATCTGAAGTTTGGATGATTACTGAATCTGAAGTTTTTAACAAATTCTCTCGTATGATAACATGTGCCAATTGTTTCTGTAACATTCTCCGGAGATCCACAAACAGATCATCAATTCATCAGACTTTGAACTAGCCTCCTTCAACAAGTATTTCCAATGCTTCTGCTACTGGCCTATTCAAAACATGCCATGTGCCATGGATTAAGTTGATTGAATAGATAAAATGTAAACTACGCTATTGGACGGTTCCCCATATTGCTGTGCATATACGTGCGTGTGAGGAGTGAACGAGCCACAAACAACCAGTTACGAAAGAAAGGAATTACTAATATATGCAAGTAGTGGAGAAAGGTCGCTCCAAATAAAACGTACGAACCCCCATGGCCCTTTATCGCAGCTTAGGTCAACTGAAGCCCGGAATGCACTTGCAACATGGTCTTTTATCCTTCGATGCCCTTGTGGATTTTATATCATTAACATTAATGATGACTTATTATCAATTTATAGAAGGGTTATTATCACTTTACCCTCTTAACGTTTGGCGTCATTATTAATTACTCTCTTAACTTTATTTTTTAGTGATTTTATCCCAAAGCTAATGGTCAAACTTAACGTAGTTTATTAATTCAAGTAATAAGACATGTTTAATCTTTAAAATTATTATCATTTTATTCTCATAAACTATAACCTTATTATCAATTTATCCCATAGAGTTATTTTTTAGACAATTCATCCCACCATTAAACTAACTTAACAAGTTAAAAAACTTTAGAATATGCTACACTCTTTTTTGTATAATAAAAATAATAAAAAAATTTAGAGTGGCTCTTCTCTTATTTAGTATCAAGAAAAAAAGTAAAAACATTAATCTCTTTCTTCTTGACAATCTTATT